ACCCTGAAAGCAGGCACAAGGGAGGTAAATCTATAATTATGGGGTTATTTAAAAGAGATTTGTGACCTGACAAACTGCCACATGTCTGTCCCTACTAAGGAGTGAAAAATCTTTGCAGCCCTTTGTCTCCAGGTGAGGTGTCTGGTTTCCACCACCGGCCAGACTTCTTGTTACAAGGCCTAAGAGATGGATATGCGGTGGGACATTAGCATTGTTCTGAAATCTCACCTAAAAATGATACCTTTTACTAGTTGTTGCATTCTTTGACCTATAATCAATCATCCTGAGTTAAAGTTTGACTTTAGCTCACTTCATTATACAAGTGCTGAGTGCTCAGCACCTCAGGGTCAAGTTTCAAACAATATGAAATGGAATTCATTGTGCAAGCTGAATAAAAGCTAGAGGAGCTGCAGTAGCCCAAGGAATTCAAGCCGCATAATAGCAGACTCAGCGTTTAGAATGCTTAACAGATTTGAGAATCCACTTATAATCATTTTAGCTGGTAATAAGTATTTACAGAGTAGCTCTTTTATTTACACTCCTCACATATTGTGTGTATATGCCAGGGACCCGCTTATGAAATGTCATTCCCTTTACCTGTTGCTCAGGCAAGGGTGCTCATCTTTTCCTGCACATTGATTTTCCATCTTTATTCATTGTCTTTCATTCAAAATGAAAAACTAGTGTGTGATTAATAACAGTGAATTACACCTTGGTGAAGCTGGATGTGGCGGTACAGTACCTGCCCATAATCCCAGCTCTTGGGAGGTTGAGGTGGGAGGAGTGTGAGTTTGAATTCCACTTGGGTTATCAAACAAGACCCTATCTCAAAAAAAAAAAATCAAACAACCCTCCCCCCCCCCTTTTTTTAACCTAAAATTGCAAGAGAAACTTGCATTCCCATTTATTGGATCCTACAAAGCAAATGCATATTTATTTATTTTTGTCGTACTGAGGATTGAATCCAGGGCTTTGCACTGAGCTACATATCCAGCCTTTTTCATTTTTTATTTTGAAACAGGGTCTTGTGATACCGCTAATTCCCCAGGCTCAGTTTGAACTTGTGATTCTCCTGCTTGAGGCTCCCAGTGGTGGGGTTATAGGTGTGTGCCACCATGCCCAGCAAAAAAATGCACTTTTAATGTTACAAATTTACAAATATGTATGTATATGCATATACATTATATGCACAGTGTGTGTGTATGTCTGGTAGAACACATTTTATAAAACTTACAAATTTTTATGAAATATTTCAGATACAAAAAAGCATAGAAACTAAAAACGAAAGATACCCATGTACCCATATTTACCCACTTGCCAGATTTGCTTCATATGGTTTTCATTCATTCATTCATTCATTCAGCAGTACTGAGGACTGACACCATGACCTTTGCACTGAGCAACATCACCAGCCCCTTATTTTTTATTTTGAGATAGGGTCTCATTAAGTCACTAAGTTGCCAAGGCTGGGCTCGAACTTGCCATCCTCCTGCCTCAGCCTTCCAGAGTGCTGAGGTCACAGGCATGTGCCACCACACCCGGCTACATGTATAGTTTTTATGTTTTTAATTTTTAATTTTTTCGTATGGGGGATCAACTCGGGACCTTGTGCTTGCAAGGCAGGCGGGAACCACTGAGCTAAATCCCCAGCCCATCCCCATCTTTTACCATGATATACAATGCTAACGGCAATGAACCATGGGCTGGGGATTTAGCTCAGTAGCACCTGCCTCGAAAGCACAAGGTTGTGAGTTTGATCCCCAGTACAAAAAAAAAAAAAGCAATGAACCATGTACATCGCAGATCCAATTAGCTCCAACTTTGAAATAACATATCTTGAGTATGACCACTTCTTCCCACACCACAGTGATCCCAGCGCAAGCTACTGTTTTCTCCTCTAGGAGCAGGAGAGTCTCCTGGTTTCATTAGGGTTCCTCTGCAGTCCACTGTGTACACAGCCCTTGAGGCTAGATGGGGTCTTTCCTTCCACCAAAACCCTTCAGTATCTGCTCATCATTCCTGGAATGGATCAAAGCGCTTCCCGTGGCTGGGACAGCCACAATGGTCGAGCCTCTCTCAGTCCCTTCCTAGCTCTCCGAAGTGGATGGGGACTCTGCCTCGGGGACTTGGAAAAAGTTACCACATTGCCTGCAACCACCCTTCCTCTCCTTCCTGTGGCTTCCTCTCTGCCGTTGTCTGATTGCTGCTCAGATATCACCTCCAGTTCCTTATTTACACTGACTGTCCAGCTTCTCTAAGTGAGTATTTCCTTCATTTCCTAGCTCCTTATCTTGCTTCTAATTTTCACCTTGCTTTTTTTCTTCTTAGTTCGCAAACCTGAGCTATTTGTTTACTTCTGCTTCCCCTAACAGATTGAAAACTGCACTGTGTGTCCCCACTACTCAGAATGATGCCTGGTTTACCAGCCCTTGGCAGAATGAAAAAAATGCAAGACCATCAGTAAATGACCCACTGTGCATATTCTTCTGCATAGTACCTTGAAAACACTTGATGATGGAGCACAGTAGGAGAGAAATTTATACAGCACACATACAAACACCTAAACACATAATAGAAAGTTTCGAGAAACAATACTCATACCACTCTCATACTCAATTTCACTGAGAAAAGAAAGAAGCAAAGAAAGACAAATAAGGCATGCTTTTACTAATATGAGGTGTCTGAAACAGTGAAATTCATAGAATCCAGCTGGGTATGGAGGTGCACACCTGTAATCTCAGCACTCTGGGAGGCTGAGGCAGGAGCATCACAAGTTCAACCCAGCCTGGGCAACTTAGAGAGATAAATTTTAAAATTTACATCAAAATTTTAAAAGGTGAGGTGTAGCTCAGTGTGAAGGCCCTTGGTTGAATCCCCAGTGCTGTTAAAAAAATTTTTTTTCCATAGAATCGGAGTGGAAGAGTGGTTGCCAGGGACTAGGGAGAGGGAAGTGGAGAATTGCCAATCAATGACTATAACTTTCAGTTAAGCAAGATTAATAAATTCTAGTGATCTATTCAACACTGTACTTGTAGTTAACAGCACTGTATAGTACACGTACAACTTTGTTATAAAGATGTATGTCTCAGGGCTGGGGATTTAGCTCAGTGGTTCCACCGCCTGCCTTGCAAGCACAAGGTCCAGAGTTTGATCCCTGGTCCAAAAAAAAAAAAAAAAAAAGAGATGTATGTCTCATGTTAAGTGTTTTTTTAATCAACCGCAATAAAATAAAATTAGTAAGGTAAGCACACACACACACACACAAAGACAAGAAAATACACTAGTTGCAACACATTGAATTGATTTCACAATCTACCAACAAATTTGAACCAACAATGTGAAAAATTGTTCTAGTGTATATACCTTGAAGTGCTTTTGCTGGGTCTACTAAATATTCTTGAATTGTTCTTTAATTTAAAAACTTTACACTACTAGCATTATAGGAGTTGCTCACATCTTTAACTTGATCTTACCACGTTTTTGAAGTCCTGCTAGTTACAGCCAAACAGTATCTTCTGTTTTAATTTGCATTTTCCTGAGTACTATTGGTGACTTCATACAAGGACCAGAGATCTTGTCCTTTAAGAAAACATGTACACCAAATTATTTTCTAATGCCCCAGGAAGACTAAGACTTTTCTTATCATAACCTCTCATATAATTCTATCTTATCATATCTTTCTCACTTTATGTGATTAGCAATTACAAATGCTCAGACAGTATATGTATTTAGGGTTAGGAAACTAAAAACCCTATACCTAAGGACACTACATTAAGAATAATTTTAGTCCATCATCCATTTGGTTGTTTATTCAGCAAATATCTATTGAAGGCTCAGGTACTGCTAGCAATTTACCAGAGAAGACCAATAGCCTCTCCTGGTGTCTACCTCCAAGTCCCAGATTTTTTTGTCCTTTGCACAGTGGCAGGCATGTTGAAGAAAAGCTGGAAGACTCCTTCCAACCCATTGTTCTCGAGCACTAGATGGGTTTGTATTCAATGGTGCCTCCCGGGAGGAACGCAGTGAGTTCATGTATACTCTTAATTGCCAAGGAGTTATCTCCAGCGAAAAGTTTTTACATAAGGGAGAAATACGTGTTTTCACTTCAATCACTTGTTTTAAAATGTACTATGATAATTAGGATCTTTTAAAGCAATCGATTTATTTTTCTTCTAAAGCAAGTTTTTTGCCCTTTACCGAAAGAAAGAAAAAAGCTTCACACTTTATTTCGTTGTCATGCTAGGTTTGATTTAAAAGTCGATGAGAAGTATCTGTCATTCATTCTAACTCAGGTAATTCCTTATTCAAACGGGAGGAAAGATCTCCAAGCCACATTAAAACAAAAAAAACAGTCTGCAGCTTCTATCTCCAACAAATAATGGTCTAGAGACTTTTCTTTTTTTAATCCCATAGATAAGGCTTCAGTAAACTGCACTTGTGGTTTTCCAGTTTAATTGCCACGAGTCTTATGCAAAACCAGACCTTTTCCCCTGCTTTCTGGAAAGATCAGGACTTAACTCATTTTATTGCTTCAGATAATTGTGTGGTTACCAGATAAGAGGAGCTACACTAAGGGACGGGAAATCGGCTACAAATATTGGTGGTCGAGCTGGATTCTTTGCTATTTATGTTGCTTTACATAATGTGAGCCCCACTGAGCAAAGAAAAGTACCCAGAGGCGGGCGCCCCGGCCCGCTGCCTCGGATTTCCCTCCCCAGCCCGGAATTCATGCAAATCAGCCTGCTCCCCCCGGGGCAATACGAACCACTTTCGCGCCACTCGCTCAGGACCGCACAGCTACATAAAGAGTGGGGGGGTCCCTGGAGCCCCCAGGGGGGTTTCTCAAAGAAATTTTGGAGTCTCCAAGATTATCCTTGGCGCGCAGAATAGGTGAGGGGCGGAGTTTTTTTCTGGGGGTCTAATTGGCCTTATGCTCCGTCGGGACGTTACCTCAGCTTGCAGGACCTGCGCCCCGACGCGGGAAAGCCAGCCCCAGCCCCGCCCCTGGGGCCCGCTCAGCGCGCCCCGCCTGAAGGTTGAGCGGCTCCTGAGGCTCCGGTTGCGTGGCACCGCGACGCTCGGCTTCTCCGCCGTCCGGTCCTAGCAGCTCGGGTGCCCACCGCCGGCATGGAGGCTCGCCGCGTGCGGGTGAGGGCTGGGTGCCGGGTGCTGGGCGCTAGGTGCGGGCGGGGACGGGCGGCTCCCCAGGACTCCGCAGACCGGGACTGCTTATCAACTGGTGGCCATCCTGGGCGTCGCCGGTTTGAGAAGCCCCAGATTTGTGCACTCGGGGCAACTCAGGGATCCGGGGACGGGACGATCCCGTCGGCTCGCGCGCGGGCGGAGGGAGCCGAGCGGCTCGCGGCGAGGGTGGTGGCGCCTGGGACCGGGCACGTGCCTCCGCCGGGCACGTGCGCGGGCCGGGCCTGGCGGGGCAACCGGATGGTGGCTGGGGTCCCACAGCGCCCGGCAGCCGCACAGCTCGCACCCTTCTCGCGGCGCACACCCGCGCGCAGGGGGTGCCCAGCGGCCGCTCCTAACCGCCTAGGGTCGGTGGATTTGAAGGTGAAGGTCTTGCAAACGCCTTTCTGCAGGAGTTGGGTTGTACACAGCGGGGTGTAGGTGTATTTTTAGTTCCAGGCGTTGCAGAAGCGCAGTTGAGGCGCCTGGTGATCAGACCGTTCGCTGGCGTGGTCCTAGTTGTCCCCACTCCCTCTCCCCCCACCCCGCCTCACTCGCAGCTGCGAGTTGCCCAGAACTGAACGTTACTCTGTTCTAAGGGAAGCCAGAATTTAGGGCCTGCCCAAGAGAGGGGAGGAAAGTGGGGGTTGGGTGGAAAGGAAGAGTGGGATGTGCTGCAGTTAACAGCGGATAGGACCTCTGCGGGGGCGGGGGGGCAGGGGGGCTAGGAGGGGCGTGGTCTCAGCCTTCTCTGCCCAGGTAGGTGGAACGGGCCGTGGCTTCCAGCCTGCAGAAAGCCAGGTGTTAACAGTGTCTAGGATTCAAATCTGGCCCACTGTGCACTACGAGTGGTATCAGTCATTAAGCTTGACAAAAACATTTATCTCTGTCGTGAGCATTTGTTTTCTCCAAGGATATTCTTGCCGGGCAAATAACTTGGGTTGTGCTGACTTGTTAAGGCTCAGCATGTATTCCCGAGACAACCCCCTATAGAAATGCTCCCTTGAGGCTGTTGTGAACTCTGACTACTCCAGGTAGATGGATGAGTGTCAGGAGTCCCCGAAGCAATGCAATCACAGCTCTTTTAGAAAGTTGCAGACCAGAGTTCTTCCAGCCCTGTGATTTTTGTGCAATCTATTTCTCCTTCCTAGGGGCTTGGATTTCCTCATCCAGAAAATGGTTCCTAAAAGGACAGAAAGACAGACACTTCTTAAAGTGATTGGACGGCCTCTTGGCATAGGAAGGTTAGGTTGCAACAATTATTTTCGCAAATAATTTTATTGTTCGCTGGAGACTGAAAGGCAGAATGTTGGGTGAAGAAGGAAATCAAGAACGTTTTGCTCATCTGACTCCTCACATCTTAGCATTGTTTTCTGAGACCTAGAGCAGAACTTGTCCTTCCAAAGTTTTAAGTGTAAGGACTCACTGCCACTCCATGCCCCTATTTAAAGAAATAAAAATATAGGAACTAATGGAACACTTAAGAAATCTCATTAAGAAAAGTCAGAAACGACTGTCCTTTTTACACAAGATAGATTCCAGTTGCATTTTCTGATGAGCAGTGCAGAGCTGTTTAGTGTTGTGAATGAATAGAGCATTTTCATATCTATAAGTAGTGTGCACCTTATGAAAGGACTTCTAAAAAAGTGGTCCTTTTGTTTTTCTGATCACTGGGATCAAACCTAGGGCATTTACCACTGAGCTGCATTTCCGGCCCTAAAAAACTTAAGTCTTGAGCCGGGGATTTAGCTCAGTGGTTCCACTGCCTGCCTCGCAAGCTCAAGGTCCCAAGTTCAATCCCGGTACCCTCCCCCAAAAAACAAGTCTTGGAGAGAGTAAGGGGCCTGCAGAAAGAACTGAATGACAGACATAGAGTGCTAAAATGCAATCAGACGTTCCTCTTGGTTTGGAGTGCTGTTTTATCATTAGCTTGGCTTTTACCATGTGTTTACTGGGCTGATATGTTTGATCTGTAAGGACTTGTGCTGAAATCACTATACCCCTCCTGACTGGAAGGTGGCCTCTTTGGAAGTCTGCCACCTTGAAATAGAGGTCCTGCCCAATTTTGGTAGTTGGGGAAATTAGCAACACAGTACATAGTCCATTGCTTACATAAAAAGACCTCATTTGCTTGATTTTGGCTGAGGGAGAGAAAATTGCTCTGCAATTTTGTACTTTTGAAATTTCCTTTTAAAAGTACAGTTCGATTTTTTAAATAGTGAGATTGGATTTTAGGAGTTTAGCATTGAATTCCTGTGGAGCCTAGCACGATGCTAAGTGCTTAGGGCCTAAGGTAGGAACAGGTAGTTCTGCAGATGTTTCAGTAAATTGATAAATATTACATTTTTCTTTTTCCAAAGAGATCCCTCTTAAAATGTGACCTGGTTTAGAAATCTTTTTGTAGCAATTGCACAGCTTCCTTTTTCTCTGTAAGTTATGAGAAATGAACATGTCTACTCTGCTGTTTAAACTCAAATGTCTTTAGTTAGCTACTACAGTAAACATGCCACTTAAGAGCATTGCCATTTCCATTTGCAGCAAAATGATCTCAGAGTAAAGAAGAATGTAAAGAAATTCAGATATATGAAGTTGATTTCCATGGAAACGTCATCATCCTCTGATGACAGTTGTGACAGCTTTGCTTCTGATAATTTTGCAAACACGGTAAGTGCTGCCTGAGAATAAACAGAATTGAGTCTGCAGTACTCAAAATGCCCCAAATGCTTTGTGCATGATAAAAACTGCTTGCTTTTTGCCTACATTTCTATACAGCCGTTAGGAAAATACAGTATGCACTGTAATTTTATTTCACTTTTTGCCGTGGTTCTGGGTGGTAATTGTTGGAGGTAGATTAGCTACTTATTCTATCCTTTTGAAATGTCGCCTAACCTAACATGCCTGATGATTTGCCATAACAACTCAGAAATCATTTGTAAACCTCTGAACCATTTTTCTTTGTAACAAAAGCTATTCTCTTGTAGTGCACTTGTAAATGTGATTTGCTCTCTGCACGGTTTATGGAAAATTGATTCTTGAAAAAGAAAAAAATGCACAACCACATTTATTTATTTATTTTACAGAAACCTAAATTCAGGTCAGATATCAGTGAAGAACTGGCAAATGTTTTTTATGAGGACTCTGATAACGAATCTTTCTGCGGCTTTTCAGAAAGTGAGGTGCAAGATGTGTTAGACCATTGTGGATTTTTACAGAAACCAAGGCCAGATGTCACTAACGAACTGGCCAGTATTTTTCATGCCGACTCTGACGATGAATCATTTTGCGGTTTCTCAGAGAGTGAGATACAAGATGGAATGGTGAGTCTGAGAATTTCACCAGTTTCAATAAGTAAGGTGCATTTAAAGCATGATGTGCTTGTACTTTGAAAAAATTTTTCCTTCAATTTTTGTTTTAGTCATGTCAGAGATTTTGTTGACCATTTAAAATTTTTGAATATTCATATCTTGGAGCAGTTTTTACTACTGTGACCCTATTTGTAAAGCTCAAACATTTTGTAGGTTCTGCAAATCAAAACACAGATTTCCATGATTACCACAGGGATCCAGCCTAATGAAAGGGAGCATGTGAGCCCTAAAGATGAGCTGCGTTCTCGAGTATGTGCAGGTGCCCTGCCCAGTGCCTGGCACACAACAGGCCTTTGATGAACACTGCTTTCCATAGGTAGCTCTGTACCTTCATCCCAGGAACCCGAGAGTCCTCCGGGGCAGGAGCTCAGTGCACACAGGGACAAGTAGGGCCCTTCCTGCTGCTTCTGTCTGCTGCTTGGTCTGCTTTTCCTGTGCATGTACCCTCCCCTTTAACTTGTTATTGTCCTGAGGCTGCTGCTGCTATGCTTGCCCCACTACTGAGCACACGCCTAACTCTGCAGACCTGTTCTTGCCTCAGACTTTCCGTGGAGAAGCTGAGTTCCCTGCAGGCGGGTGCATACCTCCACCTCACTGGTGTGGCACAGCTCCACTTCCGGACTGTTGAGTTACATGCGTGTGAGTGGCAGCACCTGGCCCAGGAGCACTCAGTGCTATTGCACTGTCCTGAGCATGGTACCCGATGATGGCCCCAGTGGGCGCTCACTGCAGGGCCAGTCTGCGAATTGTGCTGTGACCCATTGTCAGTAGCCTGAATAATTTCTGGGCAGTGATTCAGGTCTTTGTAGATACTGGACGTTGTGATTAGTAAAATTCTAGTTGATTAAAAGTGTAAAGAATCCATAAAAGTTTCTTGTTTTGTATTCTCTCCTCCTTAGACATGAAAAAGTACATGGATGGTACCAAAAACCATGGGGATTTAAGAAATATTTGTTTATTCATTTTTTTATTCATGCTGGGGGTCAAACTCAGGGCCTTATGACTGGTAAGCACGCATTGTTCCACTGAGCTACACCTCCTGCGTGTTAAGAAACTTCTGAATGTTAAAAATGAGTTTTTCCAACCTAGGTGTGGTGGGTCATGCTTGTAATTCCAGCTCTGGGCAGCTGAGGCAGGAGGATTTCAAGCCCATGCTGGGCAATTTAGTAACTTAGCAAGACCCTGTCTCAAAAGGGCTAGGATGTAGCTTGTTGCAGAGGCCCTGGCTTCAATCCTTAGTACCCCTCAAAAGAAAAAAGAAAATGGGTCTTTCTTTTCTGGAACTTCATGGATGGTATTTTTTTCTCAGATGGCTCAGAACAGTGTGTCCCAGATAGGCTGCATGGAGTCACAGTATACTCAGGTTATTGTTTTATTTGTATGTCTTGATTTTGTTAACCCAAATGATCAGTTGCCCGATGTTCAGTTAAAATTCATTTGCTAAAGTATCTTTGTAGTCAAATTGGTGAGGCGACACTTATCTTCCATCAGCATATCCTTGACAACTCAATCGCTCTGATTCTCTAGAGACCACAGTCAGCCCGAGAGGGCTGCAGGACCCGCAGCCAGGCCAGACCCTCTGGCCCTCTCAGGGTGGCCATGAAATTTCCGGTGCGGAACACCAAGGGGTCAGCCAACAAAAAGAAAGTGACCCCCCAGCCCTCAGAGAATTCTGCCAGCAATTCCAATTCCGATTCAGAAGATGAAAGCGGCATGAACTTTCTGGAAAAAAGAGCCTTAAATATAAAGCAAAACAAAGCCATGGTAAGTATCCGACTTAGAATCGACTCTTCCCAGCTTTTCCCTAAGCAATTTTTTAACTTACATCCGGACCCTAAGAATTATTTCTGTGTAGCTGTGAAGACTTCATAATGTATTCTTTTTTTTGTTTTTGTTTTGTTTTGTTTTTTGGTACCGGGGATTGAGCTTAGGACCTTGTGCTTTCGAGGCAGGCGGCAGAACCACTGAGCTAAATTCCCAGCCCCTTCATAATGTATTCTTGAAATGTGTTTCTTGGAGCTGAGCACATAGCTCAGTGGTAGAGCATGTGCTTTGCCACCATGAGTTCAATCGATAGCATCCAAAAGGAAAGCATTCCTTTCCCTAAACTTTGCTTTTTAAAATACATGTTAAAGACTTAGTTAAGCACAGAAGAGAATCAGAAACTCTTTTGAATGTGTCAACTTATTAAAGCTGTGAGATGCGCCGGAACAATCTTTACAAGTTAGTTGCTTCTTTTCTGAATCACTGCTTTCTATTAAATTTCTTTGCTTTTTAGCTTGCAAAACTCATGTCAGAATTAGAAAGTTTTCCTGGCTCATTCTCCGGAAGACCTTCTCTCCCAGGCCCCAGATCAGTAAGTGTTTGTGATTCCTTGTTTGTGTGGTATTGCTTTGGGCAAGCCTAGAGCAGATTTCTGTGGGATTATAAAATCTAATCTCCTTATTGCTGCTGTGATCTAGGCAGTCAAAGAAGAACTAGAACAAGCCTCCTTGCATCCTAAATATTGTGGCCTCCACCCTGCCCATGTGGTTCTCAAAACTTTTTTTTTTTTTGTACTGGAGATTGAACTCGGGACCTTGCACTTGTGTGGCAGGCACCGGAACCACTGAGCTAAATCCCTGGCCCCCCAAAACTTTTTTGAGATAGGGTCTTGCTGTGTATTCCAGGCTGGCCTCTTAACTTGGCGTGATCCTTCTGCTTTGGCCTCCTGGGTGCTGCATGTACCACCATTCCTGGGCTTTCAAAACTTTGGTTATTTCTGTCCTTCCCAGCTAGGCTGGGCTTTACCTATATTTATCCTGCACAGTAGGTATGTAGTAAGCCTGAGAGTAAGGAAAGTAATTTCTTTACCAGGTTATGGCCAGAAATATATGATTGTAGGCTGCAGTGACGGAGGGAAATTTGTTGTAGCTGCTGTGGTACAGAAGGAAAGCCTGGTCTGTCCTTCTGCCCCCAGGAGGCCAGACAGAAGTCAGCAAGGTAGGAAGAAGGAGAGCCAAGCATTCTTTTGTGCAATATAGAAACAGTGCCTGTGTTCCAGGGCTCAAGAGATGTAGTACAGAAGTTTTTTTGGAACAGAAAATCAGATTTTGCATCTTTATTAAGTAGAAGAATAAATAGACCAATTTGAGAGAAACTGGGCTTGGTTTTACAAAATTACAGTGGCCTTGTGGGTTTTGGGCTTATTTTCCATGCATTATAAAAAAGACAAAAATGAGAAAATGAAGCTCTCTTTTTGCTTAAAAGGAAGTCCCTTAAGGAAAAGATGTAAATTTTCCAAAGTACTACTTGTCTTTCTTAGGAAATAAACAGATTCCATCCTGTTTTGTTAAGCAGTCAAAGACTCCCCGAAGGCGGACATTCCCAGGTGTGGCTTCCCGGAGGAACCCTGAGCGGAGAGCCCGGCCACTCACCAGGTCTAGGTCTCGAATCCTGGGGTCCCTCAGCGCTCTTCCCACTGAAGAGGAGGAGGAAGAGGAAGATGACAAGTACATGCTCGTGAGAAAAAGGAAGGCCTTGGATGCATTGGTACTTCACCCTCTGTTGGCCCAGTATCACTACACACAGCCTCAAAACCCTGTGAACCAACTTAAATGTTTGCTCAGACCAACTGTTAATGTCACGTAAACTTAATTTGATTTTTTTTTTTTTCCAGTACTGGAGTCTAACCCAGGGCCTTCACACTGAGCCACATCCTCAGCCCCTTTTTTAACTTTTATTCTGAGACAGGGCCTTGCTAGGTTGCCTAGGCTGGCTTCAGACTTGTGACTCTTCTGCCTCAGCCTCCCAGAATGCTGGTTGTTTGGATTTTGTTAGTAGGTCAGAGTCAGGTTTTCTCAACTTTTCTCGGTTTCCATAATGTCCTATTATCCTCACAAGAAATTTGTGACTTACCCCTTTTCCATAAGCAAGTTTGAATTGTCTGTGAAGAAGTTAAAAATCAAGTATCTGAGGTACAAAGCTGGGGAGAGCCAGTAAGGGGCCCTGTCTCATGCTTCTTGTCACACAGGATGATGACATACCCAGAGGTCGTCGCCCGGGAGCCATGACCCTTCCCCATATAATTCGTCCGGTGGAAGAGATCACGGAGGATGAGTTGGAGAACATCTGCAGCAACTCTCGAGAAAAGATCTATAACCGCTCCCTGGTGAGAGCTCCTAAATCTGCCTGGAAATGTAAACAGCGAGAGGGGAGGCGGCCTCCAGCCCTGGAGTGCTGCTGATGTTGAAAGGTCTGGCAGAAGGATGTGAGCCTGCATTTTTCCATACAAGGAAAGAAGAGTTTTACTATTCCTAGGATATAGCGCTGTCACTTGGACTACCTGCTTAGTAGTATCAAATCTTTTCCTCTAATCTACAACTGGATCCCTTGAACACGTCTATTGTGTATCTAGTATGTATGCATACGTAGATGCAGTGTATGAAAGAGAAAAATGGATTGGGGCAGGTTTTTGTGTGTGCTGGCATTGAACTCAGCCTCACACATAGTAGGCAAGGACTCCACCACGGAGCTGTACATCCATCCCCGAAAATAAAGACATCCGACGACAGAGTGCAGGCCTCTTGCTTCGGATGCTTTTCATGCTGTGCTGTGCCACGTACCTGAGTACATGGAGATAGGAAATGCCACACTCCTGTGTGGTCAGGGTCATTCTTTAGATATGCCATTTTTCTCTACAAAAAGCAACGTTCGTAAGTTTTTTCCTTATTTGCTCTTTATTTGTAGGGATCTACTTGCCATCAGTGCCGTCAGAAGACTATTGATACCAAAACAAACTGCAGAAATCCAGAATGCTGGGGTATCCGAGGCCAATTCTGTGGACCCTGCCTTCGAAACCGTTATGGTGAGGAGGTGAAGGATGCGCTACTGAACCCGGTAGGTGCCCTAATAGGAGGGCGTGAACCTGGAGCTGTCCTGGGGGAGCCCTGGAGTCCTTCGTGTTAGGAGGCACTTGCTCCTGGGGTGGGGTACAGATGAACTCGCAGTGTTGGGGTGCACAGGTCTGAGCCTGGCGCATGTGCTCAGAGCTTGGGTTTCACAGTGTGCCCTTTCACACTCGCCCTTCAGGACTGGCATTGCCCGCCTTGTCGAGGGATGTGTAACTGCAGTTTCTGTCGCCAACGAGATGGACGGTGTGCGACTGGGGTCCTTGTGTATTTAGCCAAGTACCATGGCTTCGGGAATGTGCATGCCTACCTGAAGAGGTAACAGTTGTTTCTCTCGTCTACATCTGAATCTTACCTTCACTGATGCATCTTAGTAAAAAGAAATCAGAATCTCGTTATCTCTAGGGCAGGGGTAGTGTGAGTATTGACCAGAAAGGGCACATGGGGAGGGTTGGAAACATTTTCTCATTGGAGGGGTGGTAGCCAGGTGGGCATGCATGTAAAATTCAGATTGTACACTTGGTTTGTGCATTTGACTGTGCACATATTGTGATTCAGTAAAAATATTGTTTAGAAAATTCAGCCAGGTGTGGAGTGGTGGTGCACTCCTGTAATCCCAGCACTTCAGGAGGTAGAGGCAGGAAGTTCCCAGATGCTCACCAGTGCCAGGCCGTGGTGGTGCACCTTTGTAATCCAGGAGGATCGCTGCAAGTTTGAGGCCAGCCTCAACTACATAGTGAGTTCAGGGCCAGCCTGGAATAGACAGTGAGACCCTGTCTCAAAAAACAAACAAGGGAGTCAGGGATTTAGCTCAGTGGTGCTGCCACCTGCCTGGTAAGCACAAGGTCCTGAGTTTGATCCCTGGTACCGAACTTAAAAACAAAAACCACCAAGTTCCAGTCCAGCCTGGGCAATTTAGTGCCTCAGTGAGACCTTATCTTGAAATAAAAACTTTAAAAAGGGCTGGGGATGTAGCTCAGTGCAAAGGTCCTGGCCTCAAGCCTCAGTATTTTGAGGTAGGGGCGTTGGCTTTCAAAAGAATTCATTGGTCAAAAACGATACCCTGACTTTTTATTTATTTTTTCTTTCTTCTCTTTCACAGTCTGAAACAGGAGTTTGAGATGCAAGCCCATAATACCTAGAGATTGGCTGCCTGCTTTCTACTTCTCACATCTTCCTAGTTGAAGTTTTCAGTTCTGTTGTTGATCGAACCTGAGTTAAGAATCATGATGACCAGTCTGTTTTATAGGACTCTCAGGTCAGGTTAATCCCATTAGACTCACAAGTGCTTCAAGAACATCATGGAAGTGGTTTGCTAGTGGCACCTGTCCCTCTTGCCACTTCTCCACATCCCCGGTCCCCACCTCGGTCTTCCCCTCTATTTCCATGGTCTTCTCCCACCACTGAAGTTTCCGATTCTTTTTATTTGTGTGTGTGTGTGTGTGTGTGTGTGTGTGTGTGTTTGTGTTTGTGTGTGTGTGTGTGGTGCTAGGGGTGGAATCCAGGGCCTTGTGCATGCTAGGTAAGTGCTATTCCACGGACCTATGTCCCCAGCCCTCAAATTCTTTTTAAATTGTGAGTGTATATTTGATTGTATTCCTGTTGAAATAGCCCTGGAACCTTCCCATAAACCCAAGCACTTAGAAGCATAGAAGTGTTAACTCATTGTTCTGTTGAATTCCAGAGAAGAACCTTCTAACCTGTTTACACAGAAACAATGGGTATAATTTAGTGTTCACTCTTAAAACCATGTGGCAAAGTTAGGTAATTGTTGCAAAGTGGAGTGTATTGCTTGGTTGCTGAGGTTAAGTGGCTCACCCAGTCATCCAGAGGTTTGTGGGCAGCATTATATTGTGCTGCTTAAAATTACTGTAGAAAAGACATTCTGGGGAATTCGGATGGTGAAAAGTTCCAGGAATAGGCTGATATGAATCCTTGGCATGAAAGTGTAGAATCTTGGTATTAAGAACTAGTCTAGTTTGTGCAATTCTTGAAGAAATTATCCCTGCTGGTTGCTATGTACAGGGTTGAGGTTTTCAGCACTTTTATAACAAGAAGTGTCTTTTGGAGATGGAACCTTTCAACAGTTTGTCAACATGACATCTCTCTCAGATTTGTTCCTGGGCCCATTTTGTACATCCTCCCTCCCCTTTTGTATTAAGTCGTTCCACAGGGTCTGGTTTACCTGCATGTGTAGCTGTTGCGATCGCTGTGGAGTGATAGCTAATGAGACCTTCAGACAATAAGTGTAAATATAACTTTTGATCTGTAATGGTTTTACACAAAAGTTTTTATTTTAATAATAAAACATTTTTGTTCTAACTTGTCTGCTTTTTAAAACATTTGATCTTACAGTACGTCTTTTTTTTCCCCTTGTATTTCAATAAAAGGCCATGTCTGCCTTTTCTACAAGTTTCCCTTTTGTCTTCAGTTTCTGAATGTCCAGGGCCAGCTCTTCCAAACAGTGTCTCTTGGTGATGTGACCAGTAGCTATAATCAGAAAAGAGAGGGCTGGGGATTTAGCTCAGTGGTTCTGCCTCCTGGCCCAAAAGCGCAAGGACCCGAGTTTGATCACCCGTTACCAAAGAAAAGAAAAGAGAACACAACATTGTGAATGGGAAATTTTACAATGTTGTGTTTTTCTTTGTCATTTGCAACCCCAAAGACTAAGGGTGATTTTGCAGTAGTTGGCTACTCTTACTATTCAAATGTCTGTTACATGCATGCTGTTTCCAGGACTGGGAGAACCTGAAGATGTGCTCTAAAAGCTCTTAGAGCCCAATTTTTTTTTTTTGAGGCAAGGTCTTACTGGCCTTGAATTCATTATGTGGCCCAGGTTGGCCTCATACTTATGGCAATTCTCCTCCCTCAGCCTCTTGAGTGCCGAGATTATAAGCTTGAGCCACCTCGCCCAGTTAACACCCCAGTTCTTTAGGGCAGGGGTTGGCAAATGCAGCCTGCAGGCCAGATCCTGTTGTGGGCTATATTATATGGTGCATATGAACACTTAACACATTTTTAAGTTAAGTGTTTAAAAGATCATATGACAGCATGGTTCACAAAACCTAAAATATTTACAACGTGGCGCTTTACAGAAAGTTTGTGGTGTCCTACACCAAACTTACCTGGGAAGCCATGTTTACCTGTACAGACTTATGCAGGGAAAAGACCTAGAACACGTAGCCCAGTTGATGTATGACAAATCGAGAACTTGGGATCTTAATCCTAATAATTCAGCCTCACTAGATATGTACTGTAATCGGAAAACTTATTAGGTATGTGATCAAACTAGGATATTGCATATGCTAAGCACATACTCTTCCACTGAGCTACATCTATCCTGTTACTAGGCAGTTCTTGGTGTAAGAACTAATGGTTTCGCTGGGCATGGTGGCACATACCTGTAATCCCAGTGGTCAGGAGGCTGAGGCAGAACGATCGCCACGATTTCCAGGCCAGCCTGAAGTACATAGCAAGACCCTGTCTCAAAAAAACAACTAGTATGGTTTTCCTTAAAACTGCCAAGGTTGGTGGCTCACACTTATAATCCCACTTGTAATCAGCTTGGGTGACTCAAAAACCCTGTCAAAAAAATAAAGGACTGGGGATGTGTGTGAAGCAGTGTGAAGGCCCTGGGTTCAATCCCCAGTACCACCAAAAAATAAAAGGAACAGTTGATTGTGGTGCTTTATCTTAAAAAGGATTCACAGTAGTGGTCTGAAGTAAGATAAAAACCTAAAACATACCCTTGGGAATACAGAAAGGGAGGAAAACTTGGCTTCTCATTACCAGGCATTTGAAGTCACAGATAAGCATATGATTGTTCGGTTTCTCTTTCTGAGATGGGAGCTCTCACTGTGTTCCTCAGCCTGGCCTCAAATTCCTGGATTCAAATAATCCTGCCCCAGTCTCCTGAGTGGTGGGGTCGACCAGGCCTGGCCCCTGGGTTTTGTCCTGAGTCCCACTTCACAATAAGACTCTCAAGTCAGGTGCATGGTCTTGGCCTGGACTGCTGGATCCCTCACGTCTCTGCGCCGTCCTGAGTTGCAGTTTGGACAAGTGGGTGTGAAAAGCAGTTACACTGGGTGTGGTGGTGCATGCCTGTGATCCCAGCACTCAGAAGGCTGAGGCGGGAGGATTGCTGTAAGTTCATGGCCAGTCTACAGCACAACAGTGAGTTCAAGGTCAGCCTGAACATAAACCAGAAAAGAAAAAGTGGTATACCTTGCTCGGTGCCCCACATCCTCTTCTGTTCTGGTCCTGAGGTTGGGCGGTAGCTTCCCTTCCACCCACAATGACTGACAGCCCAGATGAGGTATTCGCAGTGAGGGGCAAGGACAGCGGCCAGCGGGGCTGTTGGCGGGAGGCATTATTTTAATTTGCCTTTAGAAGACAGGGGCAGGGTATGCCTGATGGATGAAGGTGGGGAAAATCAGGTCATTTGCACACTGGGAGAATGGAATCAAAGCTCAGTGCTTTGGGAGAAGGAGGAGGACAGCACAGCATTAGGTGCTCAGAGGAAAGAAAAGAGCAAGTGAGCACGGGCTGTTTTGTGTTAAAGTCAGCCACACACCAGCTTCCTCGAGGGGGTGGAAGCAGATCCAAAAACGTTGAGGAAAACGCCCATCAGCACACAACTGGCATGACAGCCACACTGGGCACGAAGGAGGGGATGAGCAAGCAGGGGGTTGAGCCCCGCTGTGTGCCCGAGACAGGTCTTTCAGGTAGGCTGGGAGGGCTGCGCCTCCCGAAGGTCCAGGGTAAAATGGAGGCTTTAACTGCAGGCTCAAAAAATCCTGTGAGCAGGGGAGGACTACTTAGAGATGTACAAGATTGGGGAAGGAGGAGGAAAAGCAGAGCCCAGACTCCTAGGAGCTTGGTGTGGGGCAGAAGGTGGGGACCCGTGGGAGTGTGTAAGGAGAGTCCCCTTGCACGCAGGCAGTATGGCCTGTTCCAGGGAGAGGCTTTATTGAGTGACAAATCCAGGTGATGATGTTCCTGGAGAGAAAGAGCAAGGAACAAAGGATATGCCACTCAAAGGAGAAAGCCCCTGATGCATAGATGTGTGTCTGTAATCGCAGCTGCTCCAGAGGCCAAGGCAGGAGGATCACAAGTTCAAAGCCAACCTGGGCAATTTAGCAGGACCTTGTGTCTAAATAAAAATAAAATGGGTTGACGTTGTAGCTCAGTGGCAGAGCTCTTCTGGGTTCAATCCTAATACTGGGGAGGAAAAACCACTAATATGTTAAAGTTTTCCAATACCATTGCCTTTTTTTTTTTTTTCATATTGGGACTTGAATTCAGGGCCTTGCTACTGAGCTACATCTGCAGCCCCTTTTTTTTTTTTGGTAAACCTTGAAATTTTTATTTAACATAATGAGAGATATAATAACATATTAAAGACAATGTAGTGCTCTTCTATTGTTCACCAACTGTTTTTATGATGATAACTCCGAGATCTGGAATGTGACCGAAAATGAGAATATTTTGCTGTTTGTGCTTTAGTCTCAGAATTGGTATACCCTTGGGAGATTTACAGGGGGATCTTGCTATGGAGTCAGAATGTCTTCCATGTGATCTTGATTTTGTTCCTGAGCTAGTCTGCTTTTGAGGTGAACTTGACTGTGATTTTCCTATTGACTTGGACCTTCTTTGTAAGGATTTGGACCTTGACCGTCCTCTAGAACCAGAATTCCTTCTTGGAGTTCTTGACTGCTGTGCTGAGGTAGACCGCCTTGGTAGTGATTTGGAATGAGATTTAGACTGTCTATAAGAGAATCGCCAGTGTTGAGACTCTTTAAGGCTATGTGAGCACCTCCTGTTTCTTCCCCATGAAGAACTTCTACTTTGAGTTCTCCTTTGACTGGGGGGGCTGCTTGATCTTGATCTCCTGTGATCAGCTAGAGAACAAGGATGCCGTTCTTTTTTTTTTTTTTTTTTTTGGGGATCGAACTCAGGACTTTGTGCTTGCGAGGCAGGTGGTGGAACCACTGAACTAAATGCCCGGCCCAGATGCTGTTCTTTTGATTTCATTTGGCCTGGTGCTCAATGTCACTTGATCTTGAACCTTGACCTTTACTCTTTAGGACTTGCAAGATGGACTTTATAAGAGACGCAGAACCAACAAAATCAGACTTGGCTTTGACTCTGGAACTCTGAGTAAATGTAGGAAAGCCGAAGTCTCAAAGTTGGCTTTGTCTTTTGCTTGATAAAGACTTCCCCTCTTCCAGGTCTTTATATCTGTGTCCACCCTCCCTCTTTACTCCTTGATGCTTGAACTTTTGGTGCCTTTTGTCTCGCCTGCTTGATTTATGCTTGGATTCTAGCTGACAGGTTGGTTCAAACTGGGGGGTGCTTGCCAGCTACTGTGGACTGCTTTAGATTTTCTGGTGGCATCCGCGATGTTCCTGACGAACAGGGAGGTGTTGGGGGGCCTCATGTAGCGACACATGGCCGCTCCCTACCTGGCCTCGGGTCACGCTCAGTCTCGGAAGGCCCCTCTGCGCGACCCCTGCCCCTCGGCTCGGCCGCCAGCGCGCAGCTGCAGAGGCGGGCGCCTGCAGCCCTTTTTTTAAAAAAATAAAAGTATTTAAAAATAGAATCAAATTAAGTTGCCCAGGCTGGGCTAGAACTTGTGATCCTCCTGCCTCAGGCTCCCAGGCCTGAAGGACAGATGGGGTTGAGAGTGTCCAAAATAGCATGCACTGCAGCTCAGTAGAGAAGCAGACTTCTGTGTATGATGCACTGAGAAGCATTTGTTGGGTCTCAGAGCTAAGGCGGCCTCACTGAGCACAGCGACTCTATGTACGTCCTTCGGACACCTGGCAGGCTCGTTCCAAAACAAGGTGCACAGCATTCCTGGCTACGGCCCCATGATATCAGGAAAGGAAAAGTTCTTTAAAGGGCCTTTTGCTTTGGACTGGGCTTGGTTTAAATTAGGAACTTATCTTTTGTTAAGTTTCTTACGTGATTAAAGGCCCAGAAGACATACTGACCAGCTAAAAGGACAGGAAGATATTTTGCACTTCCAAAGTAACTTCTAAGTGAAATGTTGCTAAGCACTGGAATTACCCTTTCCCTCTTGGGTGCATAAAAATGTATCCAAACTCCAATTATGGATAATGCCTTCAAGGCACCGCCTGCCTTCTCACTTGATTCCCTCTACATCCACTTTACAGTAAATTCTGCCTATTCTTCTGAGCGGCCCATGTCTTGGATGACTTCTTTCATGAAGGGCCCAAAGAACCCAGGACCAAGGAAGAGAGGGGCCGGTTCCTCAGTGTGTCGGGACCTGTGCCACCAAGCCCAGCTTTTTTTTTTTC